TAAATGGTAAATTTTATTAGGAATGCAATGTGGTTCTGTTCTCAGACAGTTTTTATATCTGTATGCTGACAGAATGCATAATTTAGTATATTACATGTAAATAAACAAATACCCATTTGTGCAATTATTGCAAAAATGGAAAATATTTCTTTTATTATTTAGTTTTCTAACAATTTATACTTAATATTCATAAATATTGCCCTGACAATGAAATAAACGTACATAATGTTCGTAATACAATTTAATAGAAATAAAAATAGATCGAGTAGATAATTAGCTACAACGTTATCATCTGTTGTTTTAAATTTTAATATTAGTAAAAAACAAACTTTTGTTTGTGAAGTATTGATATTCTTCGAGGTAATTAATAAATACTTCTTGGAAAGTCAACCCCCAACATAATATTATCGTTACACATATTAGAAAAAATAAAACAAATCAAGTGGGTGATTAACTAGAACTCATGCTGTCTATTCAACGTTATTATCATCAAGTAAGACAATAAGTTGAAGTGTTGATTTTTTAAATCATATGATATTTAGAATAAATATTTGGTGATTTTTTTCCAAAGGGGCATTTTTTCCGGGGGCTTTTTTTCCGAAGGGCTTTTTTTCCTGATGGCTTTTTTTGCTAGATCCGAATAGAACACTTACTGTTTATTAACTTCTCAGTTATAAATATTTCCCCCATCGGTAGTTCGACATCGCTCAGGGAAAAAGTCAATGCCATCCGAGTCGATGGAACAGTATTCTTTTGCAGAAAAGACTGGAATAAAGTAAATTTGGAGATTTCTTGAAAAATAGTTATTATTAAAAGTGTAAAACATTGCAATTATAGCATTATTTTATACGAGGAACTTGGTGTTAACACACTCTTGTTTGCTATTGTACTGATCGTCACATATGTAAATTTTCAATCGAATACAGAGTAAACTTTTTACAACGAAACTGTAAAGTTATTGCTAAAATGAAAAATTTTTTTACAATTAAAATATTTGATTCAAAATTAAGGATTTTCACCTTTTTAGTCTTTCAAGTTAGAACAGTATTTGATAATGATTAAATGCATTTTAAAGAACCTTTACGATGAAGATTAACTATAGCAAGTAATGAATATTCAATAGAATTAAAATTCTATCAAAAGCCTTAGCACGATAAAGAACAGTTGCCAGACGATTCTTACCCACCATTGAATTATATTATATCCTTTTAAAAAAGTAATCCTTAATCAGTCTCGCGTTGATAATGGCCACATTCAAAGTGAGCGAAACACGTGTCAGTTTTTAATAAAAGTTTTTGGTATATAGGAGGCATCTCTTAAATATTATTCCATTTACCTGTCAGTCTCCTTTACTATTCATCTTTTTTAAGCAATACAGATTAATGGCGTTTTAGGAATGGTCTAGAATGTGATATAAAAAAATATTTTTCTAAAAGGTTTAGCAAAACGAAAACTGTGCAACAGTATATTTCCTAGATAACAATCCACTAGAAATGTGCAACATATTAGAGACATGGGTGGTATTTTCGAAACTCAACTTCCATTAAAAAGTATATAGAATTTGTAGTACTTAAGGTTATAAAATACCACAAATGGCGCGGTAAACGCCATCTGTAGTACAATGCTACGTTTTAGGATTACGTATTCTCAACAAGGTCCATCTAAATACATATCTATTTGCTGAGACGAAATCCCGACGTAGTTCACCACTACGTGATAGCCACGTTACCATAATCGAATAAAATAATTCGAAGTGGTCTGTGTTCTGTCGAAACTGCCAGACACGGTCGCGATTTCGATCTTTTTGGATCTCATCAGCGCGTCGCATACAGCTCCGACAGACTTTTACCTGCTGTCTTAACAGCGGGTTTTAGAAAATACCACAAATGGCGCGCTAAACGCCATCTGTAGAACGATGCTACATTTTAGGATTGCGTATGCTCCAACAAGGTTCATTTCAACATATGGATATCTACTTGCTGAAACGAATCCCGGCGTAGCTTAACCTGAACGTGATAGGCACGTTACCATAATCGAATAAAATAATGCGAAGCGGCCTGTGTTCTGTCGAAACTGCCAGACGCGGATCGTGATTTCGATCTTGTTGAAACTCATCAGCGCGTCGCAGACAGTTACGACAAAACATAGACCAATTTTACCTGCTGTCTTAACAGCACGTTTTATAATATACCACAAATGACGCGGTAAACGTCATCTATCGTACAATCGACGAAATGTGTATCGATTTGTTTAAACCGTCCAGTGGTCACAAACTAGATTTAAACTTTACCCACTACCAACAACCTCAAATTGATGAGGAAAAATTGTTTTTGCTGTCACTTCCTCGCCGGGAATCGAACCCACTGGTATTGGTGCGTAAAATCAGGTGCCCTGGTTCGATTCTCGGCGAGGTAGTGACAGCAGCAACGACTTTTTTCTCATTAATTTGAGGTTATTGGTAGTGAGTAGAGTTAATTCAAAAAATTAATTCGCTAATGCAAACTAGTTTTTGTTCCTATAAAACCAAAATGGCAGCCATAAAATACGAGAAAATGAATTGCGTCCTATATTGAGTGGCATATCAGTGAATAGGTATTTCGAAATTAAGATGATGCTTCCTATTCTATTTCACAGCGATAGACTCCGTCTATTAATTAAGCAATCTGAAAGTAGCGTAAGAAGGATCTATATATATTTATTGAATAAGAACTTAAATAAACCTCCTTAATGATATGTAGACTTCATCAAAGTAGTATTTATAGACAGGAGCTAACAAAATATTAATGAAACAAACCTAAGAAGTCATCAATAAAAATACCGAATCACCTAAACTATATATGAACTAGTACGTTGGTACGTTCTTAATGATGAAACTAAATATCTACTGTGTGTAATTAATTAGTTAATTCTTTTAAATACTCAATTACAGTAAATTAAATAATAAAATGGATCTTGTACAAGATAAGGTTTTTGGTGTTAAGAATTTTTTTGGCTTATTGTTTATCGGAGTTACAGTAGAATATCACGAATCTTTTATTTCAGACAGCATCAGGGACTTGTATGAGTTGCTTCTGCAAAAAGATGCACTGGAACAACGACTTGAAGGACATCAGTTAGTGCGAAAATCAAATCGGTCACCATCTCTGCGACTTCGATTTGGAAGAAGATCTGACCCAAGCGTTTTACCGGTAAATCTAATTAATCCAAATGGCTGGTATATTGATTCACAAATCATTCTAATTTTTGTGTGACTTACGAATATGTTTTGACCATCTTCACTGTGAAAGACATTTACAGATTATTAATATCCGAGTGGGTACATAAACATAATATGAAAACGTGTAATTTTTTGTCTGATTATGCAGTAAGAATAGTGTGGGAATTCTCAAGTCATCATCAAGAGACTGGTTGGATACGCATCTCCACACTTTCCTATCCTGAGCTAATCTTCGCATTTCCCTAAAACTAGAACAACACACATCCTTAATTATCCCTCCTAATTCCCATTTCTGCCTCTAATATGTCTCTGACTAGACCTTCACGCCTGAGAAGGTGCCCTACCAACCTATCTTGCCTACATTTTATTGACCTCCATAGAGTCATATGTTCTCTATCCACGGTATCCTCATCATTCGCCTGTAACACCATATTTCGAACGCTTCTAACCTTTTCATTTTCGCCGCGCCCACCGTCCATGTTTCACACCCGTACAACGCCGCGTTTGGGAGCATAGAAGTGACTTCTTTTTATTGAATGCGACTCGATCCTGCGCTATCTTCTGCTTTATATCCGTACTACACTTTCCGTCCCTTCTTATCTGACTTTTTATGGTTTTATAGCTTGCGGAGGTTCCCAAGTAGTGCAGAATCAAAATGATATTAACGAATTGTGTTGAAAAGCGTCTTTATCGTTATCTTTTTATAGGAAAGGAGATGTTATATTATTAATATTAATCAAAGACTATTTTCAAAACTAATAAAAACAATTAAACAAATTAATATTATTATTCCTACTAATTCAAAGTTAACCNTGTCATCAGTCAAATGATGCAGAATCCTGAGTTATCAAAAGTTTAAAACATTGCAAAAGTGTAGAAAATATTAAAGATCAGGATAGCAATAGTATAATCTATTTGAAAAACTAAAATCTTTACAATTCTTTATAAATTCTGATGAATTCTCAAAATCCTCTTGGTTTTCTAAATTATGTACGTAAATGAAGTAGTAACTTATGTAAGACCTTGCAAATGAACTAGGTTAATTTTACGTTTGTTCTTATGTAAATTAATATTTTTTGAATTAAAACTAATTATCTTGTTGTAATTTAAAAAGTTTTGTATCATATGAAAAAGGTTATTCTTTAGACGATTGGTCAATCCCCAATAAAAATTATGACCAGATTCATAACTGTATAATACCATGTTGTTAAAAATTTTATACACATAAACGTTAAAGATAGCCTTAATGGATACCCGGTGTGTACTCTTACCTTTGTGAAAAAGGAACATGTGACACGATGCGCATGCTCAGGAAGCAGGATGTTTCTACTTCTGCCTCGTCGCAAAGTAAACAGCGCATCGTTTGCGTTCTGATACTTTTATCTCTCGGAGGATCGAGTTTATGTATACAAATTAGGCTTTTTCAAAGCACTTTGAACGTAAGGGTTTTGTGAAAAAAGTCTGATCAAAAATACGTTTTAATTTATTTCAGTCAAGCAGTATTAAGTAAATGATTTCATATTTTCACAGAGAAAATATTCTTGTTTTCCTTTTTTAATGGTATTAAAGTCTGGAATTAATTGTTGTGTAGTTGTGAATTAATTTTACCCACTACCTCCTTGTAGCTTAGGAGTAGAGCAAGGAGTGACAGTAGCAACAGTTTTTCCTTATTAATTTGAGGTTATCCGTGGCGGGTAAAATTAATTCAAACATTAATTCAATAATACACGGAATTAACCCTACAAAAATTGAAAGTATCCAATTGTGTCTTAATGACAAATCACTTAACTCCAAACTCAAGCAAGTTGGAGGCATTATTATACAAGAATTAAAATTATAGAAAATGAATTTGATAAAAAAATAGTTAACCTATTTATTTATATAGGCAGCATACCTCCTCTTAGCAATATTTTCCGAATTAATTAATACTCATTACACTTTTTAGCATTTCATCAGAATGTTTTAAAAACTAAGGACAGTTAAGAATAATTCTATTACTAATGAGCGTGATGTAGGTTCCTTTTTTGTAAAATTACGACTGATATTCTTTAATAAGAAATTTGATTATAAAAAATTCCATGCCAAAAATATTAATTTAACATCAAAGTTCCTATAAAAAAACTTATTTGTTTTATTATAACGGGAGTAAGGTAATAAATAAATAAGTGCACTTTAAAAAGTAAATTTGGTTTTCCAAAAACGAACAAGCCCCGGTCTAAGCTATTTTTTGATAGCAAGCAAGGCCAAGGCTTGTGCGTATTTAAAAAAATGTCAGTTTATTTATAAACTTTTTATAATTTTAAATGTTCAATATTTGACGATTGGCACCCCTTAGAGCTTGACGTATCCAAGAACCACCCAATTGTGCATTTAAACGTTTTTGGTCGATGTGCTACAAAATAAGCAGAACCAGAGGTAATTTAGGGAGAAGCCAGTACCAAACGTGAACACCGGAAATTTCTTTTTTTTACACTTCCTTGCTGAAACGGAATTTAATTNACGATGCTACATTTTAGGATTGCGTATGCTCCAACAAGGTTCATTTCAACATATGGATATCTACTTGCTGAAACGAATCCCGGCGTAGCTTAACCTGAACGTGATAGGCACGTTACCATAATCGAATAAAATAATGCGAAGCGGCCTGTGTTCTGTCGAAACTGCCAGACGCGGATCGTGATTTCGATCTTGTTGAAACTCATCAGCGCGTCGCAGACAGTTACGACAAAACATAGACCAATTTTACCTGCTGTCTTAACAGCACGTTTTATAATATACCACAAATGACGCGGTAAACGTCATCTATCGTACAATCGACGAAATGTGTATCGATTTGTTTAAACCGTCCAGTGGTCACAAACTAGATTTAAACTTTACCCACTACCAACAACCTCAAATTGATGAGGAAAAATTGTTTTTGCTGTCACTTCCTCGCCGGGAATCGAACCCACTGGTATTGGTGCGTAAAATCAGGTGCCCTGGTTCGATTCTCGGCGAGGTAGTGACAGCAGCAACGACTTTTTTCTCATTAATTTGAGGTTATTGGTAGTGAGTAGAGTTAATTCAAAAAATTAATTCGCTAATGCAAACTAGTTTTTGTTCCTATAAAACCAAAATGGCAGCCATAAAATACGAGAAAATGAATTGCGTCCTATATTGAGTGGCATATCAGTGAATAGGTATTTCGAAATTAAGATGATGCTTCCTATTCTATTTCACAGCGATAGACTCCGTCTATTAATTAAGCAATCTGAAAGTAGCGTAAGAAGGATCTATATATATTTATTGAATAAGAACTTAAATAAACCTCCTTAATGATATGTAGACTTCATCAAAGTAGTATTTATAGACAGGAGCTAACAAAATATTAATGAAACAAACCTAAGAAGTCATCAATAAAAATACCGAATCACCTAAACTATATATGAACTAGTACGTTGGTACGTTCTTAATGATGAAACTAAATATCTACTGTGTGTAATTAATTAGTTAATTCTTTTAAATACTCAATTACAGTAAATTAAATAATAAAATGGATCTTGTACAAGATAAGGTTTTTGGTGTTAAGAATTTTTTTGGCTTATTGTTTATCGGAGTTACAGTAGAATATCACGAATCTTTTATTTCAGACAGCATCAGGGACTTGTATGAGTTGCTTCTGCAAAAAGATGCACTGGAACAACGACTTGAAGGACATCAGTTAGTGCGAAAATCAAATCGGTCACCATCTCTGCGACTTCGATTTGGAAGAAGATCTGACCCAAGCGTTTTACCGGTAAATCTAATTAATCCAAATGGCTGGTATATTGATTCACAAATCATTCTAATTTTTGTGTGACTTACGAATATGTTTTGACCATCTTCACTGTGAAAGACATTTACAGATTATTAATATCCGAGTGGGTACATAAACATAATATGAAAACGTGTAATTTTTTGTCTGATTATGCAGTAAGAATAGTGTGGGAATTCTCAAGTCATCATCAAGAGACTGGTTGGATACGCATCTCCACACTTTCCTATCCTGAGCTAATCTTCGCATTTCCCTAAAACTAGAACAACACACATCCTTAATTATCCCTCCTAATTCCCATTTCTGCCTCTAATATGTCTCTGACTAGACCTTCACGCCTGAGAAGGTGCCCTACCAACCTATCTTGCCTACATTTTATTGACCTCCATAGAGTCATATGTTCTCTATCCACGGTATCCTCATCATTCGCCTGTAACACCATATTTCGAACGCTTCTAACCTTTTCATTTTCGCCGCGCCCACCGTCCATGTTTCACACCCGTACAACGCCGCGTTTGGGAGCATAGAAGTGACTTCTTTTTATTGAATGCGACTCGATCCTGCGCTATCTTCTGCTTTATATCCGTACTACACTTTCCGTCCCTTCTTATCTGACTTTTTATGGTTTTATAGCTTGCGGAGGTTCCCAAGTAGTGCAGAATCAAAATGATATTAACGAATTGTGTTGAAAAGCGTCTTTATCGTTATCTTTTTATAGGAAAGGAGATGTTATATTATTAATATTAATCAAAGACTATTTTCAAAACTAATAAAAACAATTAAACAAATTAATATTATTATTCCTACTAATTCAAAGTTAACCAAAACAATATTTATGAATTAAGTAAGTGTTTATCATGCAAAAGTATAATTCGTTACAAGTTAAATTAAGAAAGTAATTAGTCGAAAAATCTTGATCAATAAAATACACAAAGAGAAGAATTAATTATTATAAATAATAAATGTACATTTCGGCTACTTGAGCATCGTCAGGAGTATAAATATTAAGTACTATTACGAATCAAAGAGACGAAGTGGCTGATTTTAGGTATCTAGAAAGTCAAATAAATCAAGACGGAAAGACATTCTTAGCGAAAGATGACAAAACTGTAAAAAAACTATTATTACGAGGATGCATCAAAAAAAATAAAATCATTATAAAAAAATGCAAAAAGTTAAACAAAAATATTTTATTTTTCTTTATAATCTCCCACTAATACAATTAATTTAGAATAACGCGTTTTTAACTTTTTTATCCCTTGCGAAAAAATCTGTTTCTTGACTCGAAAAACTCCTCTAATACGACAGCCATAACCGCGTCGTCACCGTGAAATTTAGTTCCATGCCCTTTTACTTTTCGGAATAATTGAAAATCACTAGAGATTAAGTCCGAAGAATATGGTGGGTGGTGAAGGAGATTGAAACCATCTATGAACAAAAGCGTTAGTTAGTTAGTTTTCCACGACGTTTTCTCATTTAGATTATTTTCTAATACTTTGTTTTTTTATTTTAGATTTCAGATTATCTGTCAGCACAGGAACAGGAAAACAAGTAAAGCCACACGAGGACTACTTTCTCCTCCACTGTCTCATTTCATCAAGAGTTTTTAGTTTAAATACGTTAAAAATAGTTGTTTCATTGATTATTTTTAATTAAATGTAAAAAATATAAATAATATCAGTATAAAAAGATGCAGTATTGTTTAGGTCTAAAGAATCTTTAATAATGTTTCATGTGAGTACAGTGTGAAGTATCTATATTACGTGGAAGTCGTGCAAATAAATTGTTTTTTCTCATGATGATTTCATTTTGTGATTTTTATAATAAAAACCTTAGAACTTTAACTTAACACTGGAAGATAAAATCATAACCAAGACAAAGCAGAAACGTCAATGAAGTCGTTTTTGAACCCCCGCTCCTTCGAAAATTCTCACGAAACAGTTCTTTTCTAACAATTTCTGTATGTAGTGTTTTCCGTTAGTTTTGTACTACCTACACAATATGGCGCGATGAAATAAAAAAAACACTAGCACAGAATTCGTTTCAAGGCTTTTAATAAGTACTGGAGAAGATGAAGAAACTATTTACAGTACGATGTAGTAGAAACAATAGAGAAGACAACCACAAAAATGGCAATAATAACAATGTATAAAATACCACAAATGGCGCAGTAAACGCCATCTGTAGTACAATGCTACATTTAGTGGAATTCATTATGCTCAACAAGTTCCATTTAAATAGATGGATATCTACTTGCTGAACTGAATTCACGGCGTAGCTCACCACTACGTGATAGGCACGTTACCAAAATCGAACAAACAAATTCGAAGTGGTCAGTGTTCTGTCGAAACTGCCAGACGCGGATCTTCGATCTTTTTGGATCTCATCAGCGCGTCGCAAACAGTTTCGACAGAACACAGACCAATTTTTACCTGTTGTCTTAACAGCACGTTTTATAAATGTATACGAAAATTTACTAAGTAACTGAAGGAAAAGAACTAGAAGAACTAACTTCGAATGTAAGAGTGTTTATTGTTAAAGTTGTTGAAGATTGACAAGAAGGGTAGTTTAGAAGAAAGACAGAAAGTGCAGGTACAGACAGTAAAAATTCTTAGAAGTAAATAGAATGGAATGTTATTATGTTATTGCGGGAGAAACCAGATTGTTGGTAAAGTCAGGGTAAATGCAGGGGTTCCAGGTAATGAAGCAAGCTCAAGAGTTCAAAGTTAAAATTGAAAGTAAAAATTTAGAACGAAAATATATTTTAGAAAACAAATTCAATTATTTACAAGATATATAGATCGCTACAAGTAAAAGAATTAATACAAACAAAAAAAATCTCATTCAAGAACATAACATCAGAATTGTTTGTCATTTGGAACGGCGTTGTCAACGAATGGGCCGGGCGGTGAGGTCAAAATGGAAGATAGAGGATATGAATTTTAAGTAAAATGAATACAATTTTTTAAAGTATTAATCCTTCCCTACTTACCAGAAAAAAATATCTCTTTGGATGTGCTTTTATCGACTGCTTTTATATTAAAGTCTTCCATTTTCCCTGTGAATTTTTCGATGAAAACTCATAATCGCGAGACCATTGATGCGATTTTCCCCCATCATATGTACCTACTTCTTAGTCAAGTTTTTATATTCGTTTTAGCCTAAAGGATCGCTCTACAGTAAGCTTCGTAGAGCGCTCTGTTCTGAATTCAAATATAAATAAAAATTGGTCTGAGCACACTTTGGTCGGTGCTAATACGACTAACTTCCCATTAGATAATACAGTTATTATTGATTCCGTAACTTCATTGTTGTGATTAGATTAGAACGTATTTTAATTAAATTGTTTGTAATTAATTCGTTTTTTTTTTATAAAAAAAAAACGGCTTGACCGATTTCGTTCAAATTTCTTTCAGATCTTCATTATGATAATATCTTTCGAAAAAATTTTGGTTGAGGGCGATATCTCAATCCGTTCTTGAGATATCGAAAACGAAAAAAATGCTGACATACGAACGTACGTACATACGTACGTACGTACGTACGTACGTACGTACGTACGTACACACACCATCAAAAAAATTGGCTAGCATGCTACTAATATGTTAAAACGTGGAAATATAATGAAAATTCCGATTTCACTTTTCGACCCAATTACAATAACTTCCTAATGGGAAGTTAATTAATATCTATGTACAACCAGTAACACTTCAAAAGTCTGAAGATGGTTGAATAAACAGAAACGTTAAAAAACATAGTTGTTTAATTATTTGATCGCCACCCTGGAAAAAACTACATAATTTATACGCATAGCTGTGCGCCAAAAATTAGAAATCGGGCAATAAATAATAACATGAAACTTAAGTAAACTTTTTTTAAGCGAAATGAAAAGAGCTCACCGCCCTGCGCCCACTTCTTTGCGATGCTCATGATAATTTATAATTTACTTATAGTCAGTGATTGACTTACTTTAAATATTACAATCACATTAAACCCGTATATCCACTTCATACATCATGTGTTTGGTTAACTATTAAGAGAAAAGCAATACTGAAAACCCTCGCTGTCTTAAACACATTTTGTCAATCTGGTTTCATAACTTTCAAAAGCTTTAAGTGATTTTTGATTAATTGATTTAATAAAAAAATTAGTAAAAAAACATTGCTAAAAATGCTTTTTTATTATCGTTTTATAAGAAAAATAGAATAATTATATATATACGACAGACTAAAACGATGCGAGGAAGATAAATTAATTTTTTGCCATTAGTATTAATAATTTCTCCAATTAAAAACACGTTTTTGATAGAAAATTTGACGTAGAATACGATTATAATACAATTTTTTCATTAAAACTAGTTCTTACCCCCTATCAGTCACTGTGAGCTCGAAACTGTTAGCACCATTGCTTAGAGTGGTCGAAATTCCCTTTTGTGAACAATTTGTTTAATCACTTTCTTTGTGTTAAAAATTCTTTGAAAAATTAAATTTAAAGGAATTGTTTGTAAACAGGTATGCAACACATCGTACACTTCAGCATATGAAATTGCTGATACTAACTACGTAATACTACTTTGGTCTGTGTTGACAGCACTCATAATTTCTTCTATATATAATATTCATTCTTTTAGATTTAAAAAGAAAACGAAATGAAGTTTCTAGCTCAAATATAACCGGAGTTACAAATTTTTGAAAATGATTCTTCAAGCTTAAAATCACAAAATTCTTAAATTTTTGATCACTTCTATTCCCCAAAATATTGAAAAACAAAAAAAATCCTCGAACACGTATTTTTCTTTTGACATAGAACCCATAAAGAAAACTTCAGCGAAATCGAAAATGTGTCCATCAAGTTTAGTATGTGTTATAAACGAATGTCTCATATACATATACAGGGTGTCTCACGGTGACCACCCATTAGAATATTTCGGAAACTATTTCGATTCGAATTTTGAAAATTTGGACAAGTGTTATTGGGTACGCTCTCCTCAATTAAAATAAAGGCATTTATGTAGCACTTCCGGTTATACCGAAAGTTGACACCAACTTCGTTATTATAAATGGAGCACCCTGCTCGAAGTATTAAACTAATAATTTTAATTATTATCGGGTATTATTTATTTTACTTACTGTTTATTTACTTTTTTTAATATTGCTATCTGTAGTCTACCATATTGCAATTGATTTCTTAAAATTCATCTCAATTTGAATAGGTATTTTCATTTTTCGTTCTTCATAAAAATTACATTGAATAATTGACATTAAGAATCCATAGTACCATTCGAAAGACAATAAAATTATGTATAAGGTTATAAAAATATATACAGGGTGTTCCATTTGATAAAATTGACTTGTGATTGTTTGAAGTTAACCAAATTCCTCACTAAATATTTAACACCCTGTATATTAATAACCCATTGAAAGTACGGACGGGAAGCTTGAGGGTATCGCTTCCTTTCCTGAGAATATTGTTAATCCAGCGTTTTTAGTGTAAAATAGCTACTGTCCAAATTTTCAAAATTCGAATCGAAATAGTTTCCGAAATATTCTAATGGGTGGTCACCGTGAGTATATATATGTGAAGGCAACTTTACGACCTTATAAATATTTTTCGAATAAAATGCCGTTTTCGTGAATCGTTTGTTTTTCTTTTTAAGTTATTTAAAGTTATTAATAAAATTATTTTGAAAATATAAATACATATAGTTATGTAACCTACTGAAGATAAAATCATAACCAAGACAAAGCAGAAACGTCAATGAAGTCGTTTTTGAACCCCCGCTCCTTCGAAAATTCTCACGAAACAGTTCTTTTCTAACAATTTCTGTATGNTCTTATGCGCTATTAAACATCATCGCACAGCACTATTTTTTAAAAGAAATTAAAATAAAATGCATGACTTATAAACACTTTTTATTACTCAGATCAAATTTTCATTTACAATAAAAGAGGTAAAACTCAAGTACTAAAGCATCATCATAAATTACAATATCAAAAACAACAAACTGTAAATATACGTAAATTCATTTGTATAAATAAATAGTGTGTAAATAAGAAATAATTATGGAATGTGGCCATGCGACAGTTTATAATTCATCTTTAATTAAATTGACAACTTGTACAAACTTCCTAAATTCATCTTCAGTTCGTTTTCCAGTATAATTCTTCACGAATTTTCCATTTTTAAATAATTTAATAGTTGGGTAACCAGATATGTTATATTCGTCAGTCAGTTCTGGATTTTCTGTACAATCTACCAAACCAAATTGACAAGACACTCCTTCTTTATGTAACTTTTCTGCAGCTTTAGCGAACTCTGGTTTTGCCGTTTTACAATGTGAACACCCTTGAAATATACCGATTATTTCATAAACATAGTTGTAATACTAATCAATCCAAAATATGTATTATAGGAAACTAAGAACTAAGAACCACCTGATCATAAAAATAAGAATTATACTAATTAAAACTGGAGCTAAAATAAGTTAATAAACCTGTGTAAAACCCAAGGTGTTGTAAAATGATTTTAAAAATACATAAGTATATATATTAAATGAAATATTATATCAGTTATAAAAGTAGCAATTTATGAAATAAAGTAATCGTATAAAATAATTCGAAGTGGTCTGTATTCTGTCGAAACATCCAGACGCGGATCGCGATTTCGATCTTTTTGGATCTCATCAGCGAGTCGCTAGCAGCTTCGACAGAATACAGACCAACTTTTACCTGCTGTCTTAACAGCGCGTTTTAGAAAATACGACAAATGGCGCTGTAAACGCCATCTGTAGTACAATGCTACATTTACATATTAAAAATACAGAAAGAAGTTGCCATAGTTGAATCAAAGAATACAGACACATAGAAGGCCACATCAATACGATTTTTTGTCGCAGTAAAATGCTCAGTTCTAACTGCGACCGTAGGAGTCGCATGGTCGAAATAGATAGGGCAGGGCAGGCTGCAGATGGAATTGTCAGCAGTCGTTGACCATGCGTCGATCAGAGTAGGTATGAGTAGGGGTGCATATAAAAATTTTTTTTTTCAGGATGAAAAATATTTTAATTAGTAACTGATTATTATGAAAATGATGTTCAATATTTACATTTCAG